CAAGGATCAGTCATTTCCCCAGCAGGAAGGGTTTGAGGACATTGGGGGTGATTTCCCCCAAATGTGCCACTCATTAACACAATCCACTTTTCCTGTTCCTTTAGTGGGGGTCACAGCTTTGTACACAGGCAGGATTGTCAGAGATGGTGGGGGGCACTTGCACACTGACTGCTGGGTCTACTTTGTGGGGAACACAAGTGCTCACCCAGTGACCAGGAATCATTTCTACCAGAACAGGGAAGGCAGAAATGGTGAATAGCTTCTTGTCTTTTCAGATAAATGAGTGCACATCCAACAATCCCTTGGAGGCAACACTTGGGTCACATTTGATACTAAAAGGAGATGTAAAGTTTACTCCCAAGTCAAGACCCAATTAACTCTTGTCAGGAGAGTCAAAGCAGACTTAAGCATTTTGTTTCTTCTCAGACAACCTCTCAATCACCCAAGGGGCTCTGGCCCTTTGAATTCTGGAATAATGCATCCATGATCTGACTTGTTGTACCACTTCTACAATCAAGTGGGAACCTCTGGCTGATGACATTCCCAAATGTACCTCGAATCAAGGGATTCTTGGATTCAACAGTATTCCACTCACTTCCCTAGCCTGGTTGGTGTCACAAGGGAAAACCTCTGGCCACCCAGAGAAGGTATCCCCCAAGACTAGGAGATCTTTACATCCCCTTTTTCTGGGCAATTCAGTCAAATCCATCTGCCAACATTCACCTGGAACATTTCCACACTTTACATCACCTATTCCCACTCCAGTGGCAGGGTTTGGATTATTTCTCTTCCACACACCACACTGCTGACTCACTGCTTGTACAACTGGGGTCAGTTTTGCACCTCTAACCCCCTTGTGCAAATGTTACAGTGCAGAAACAAATACAAACACAAAACAATGATCAGTGGATAAAGCCAGAGACCAAATCATGGAATACCAAATAACCCACCCAAAGCACTGGAAGATCCACACGTCTTAGATGGATGGGATTCCCCAAAAGAATGCCAATGGGATCTTCCCCCATCCCAGACCAGCCCGGGGATCTGTGGTCTTCTCCAGGAAAGTCCTGGGGCTGACGTGAAGATCCAGAGATCCCTGGGATCCACAGGAGATCAGGCAGAGGGTCCCATCTGGGGGCCAGAAATGGTCCCCAAAAGCAGCAGAAAGCAACTCCTTAACCCCAACTGGGGGTTAGATTTTGATTTAGACTATGTTCAGATGATGAAACACGTATTTTACATTATCCTGAACTGGAAATTTGTTACATAATTAAGAGAAAATATATTAAGAAAGGTTTGAATATCATAATTTAAAAAAAGGTTCATTACCTGTCCAATTGCCATAAAGTAAATCTGTATCTGTCATCTAAAGAGGAAAAAAGCTTTTTTCCCCCTTTTGTTTTGACACACACATTTGGACTTTTTTTCCTGTATCAAATGAAGCAGAAAGAATATGTTATTACAGCTTTATTATTTTCTAAATGCATGATGTGTGCTACGGACCACCACTGAACTGTGCCAACATTCCTGCAGGCTGGATAAACTCAATGTAGATTTGCATCAAGAGCTATAAATCATTAACCATCCTCATGCCCTGAGGTGGAGCCCTGACCCCAGCAATGCTTTCTCCTGACAGGTTCTCCATGTGTGCAGGCATCCTCCCTCCCCAGAGGTGTTCCAAGTCCCCCTCTCCCACTCCTCTCCATCGTACATGGAATACTGACAATCCAGAATGTTTATACACTGGGATGTATTTTTTCCTTTGGTAGATCTGTGGCAACCCAGAACTTGCTCAGCCTCTTGTGCCCTGTTCAAGTGGGCATCTGTCACTTTTCTTCCTGCAATAATCCAACCAAACTACTTTGTTACTCCTCCAAGTAATTACCAGAAGCTTTTGCTGTATTTTCCTATTATGTATCTATTTTATAAAACCCAAGGTTAATAAGTACCATTAAAAAAATAATAAAAAATGACAGACTTGTAGAAATCAAAGCCCTGCAGCCTGCTCAGCACACCTGATTCCTCCTCTCCACTGACCATCAGGAACAGGAGATTCCCATATTGCAGGGTCTCATCTGTAGATACTGGATTAAGGACTCACAACTTCTTAAGAAAAGCAACGTTATAATTTCACTGTTCTGGAAAGGTTTTGTTATCAGCTGGGTTTAAAAGCAAAGCCCTGTTGCCAGGACCAATTAATGCAGGTGCTATAATGCCAAAGGTTATTTCTGTTGCTGCTTTTGTTACACTCTGTAATAACTTCTGTAGAGATCAGTGCTGGCAACAAGAATTCCAATGGTACACTTGTTTCATTTTTCAGACTTTGCATTTCAAGAATGGTGAATTTTTCTTGGAAATTTTGAAACAGTTGTAATGAACTGCCTCAGAGATTTTATTTTATTTATTTCTAAGACAGAATTTTCAAACATATCCTTTGGGTATGCAAATAGTTGAATGAGTTGTAATGATTTTTATTTACAATTGTACATTTGCCCTGATTAATGTCCTAATTTATATTTTGCTAAATATGAGTTCTTTTCGTGTTGCCTTCTGTAAAAAATGGCTTTTCATTATTTTTTAAAAAAATATAACCCATAAGCATAAAGATGATCTCCTAAAGTGTTACAACCTTTTAAATCCACTTGTTCCCACAGAAGCACAGCATGCAAATATTACATCCAAAGATACTGATATTTACACCAGAAAGTTTTGACTTGATGAGAGTTCTACATAGTAATGAACAGAGAACCGGGTTTATGTGTCATACAACTGTGGTAACCATGAACATATGCTCTTAGCTTTTATTTATTGTCCCCATTTATAACTGCCTGCCTTCCCTTCGTGGGGAACACAGGCCTGTATTTTGCATGGTCATTTTTTTTTTACTTTGCAGCGTAGAGTAGGGGTAGAAGACCTTTTGGAGCCCAGTAGTTTGATCCCCATTCAATTTGTTTATAGGTGAATAGAAATCAGGAGCTGGACTCGATGGTGCTGAAGGGCCCCTCCCAACTCAGCACATTCCATGAAGTCCAACTGTCCACCCAGCACTGCCCCAGGAACCCCCAAACCACTGAACCGTGTCCCTCATCGCCAGATCCAGACGCCTCTGAAACACCTCCAGGGATGGGGACTCCACCTGGGCAACCTATTCCAGCGCCCGGTGACCCTGTCGGTGAAAACAACTATTCCAATCTCTGACCTGGATCTGCCCGACCTTGCCCGAGGCCATTTGGTCCTCCCAGCACTGGCTCCTTCCCAGCAGCCGCCTGAGGAGAAGGCGGCTCACGGGTCCCCTGTGCCCGCCGGCCGGCCCCGCTCGGCTCCAGATGGGGAGGGAACGTGCCCTACTATGCATCCAGTTGCTCCCAGCCATTCCCAGTATATCCCAGTTGCCTCCAACATGCTGCCAGGTGCTCCCAGTATGATCCCAGTTGCCCCACTTTTGGTCCCGCTGGATCCAGTCCAGGTCTCGGTGTATCTCGGTGTCCCCCCTGTCCCCCCACCCCGGTGTCACCCCCTTTTCTCTCCCCACAGAGCTCCTGAGCCGGTGGCGGCCGCAGCCCCTCCCCAGGGCCTCAGGCCCAACCTGAACCCCCCTGTCCCCCTGAGGATTTTGGGGGGGTTGTGTGTCCCCCTCTCCCCTGCTGTCACTCTGCCTCCACCCAGCTGCTCCCAGTGATCCCAGTAAAGCTTCCCAGTTCTCCCCAGTCCTGATTATTGGGGGGCAGTGGGGGAGGGGCTTCAGGGAATCCAAAGGGGTGGAGCTGATTTGGGGAGGGCGGAACCGGCCCCAGGATCGATGCGGAATTGGGACACCCCTGTATTCCCCCAGTGTCAACCTGCTCTAGAGGGGCTTTGAGAGGGCACCTGCCCCTCAATAAACCACCCAGGTAACCCCAAAAGGTGCTGGGAACCCCCAAAACTTCCCCACAGCCCCCCAAGGACCCCCAAACACACTCAAAGCCCACCCAGGACCCCACCTAACCCCCTTTCTGGGGGGACTTCTCTGGGCACTGGTGGTGCTGGGAGACCCCCCTGGCTGCAGGTAAGAAGCTCTCGGGTGAGCGGGGGGGTGGGAAGGGGGAGATTGGTGGGGAAAGGGGGGTCAGAGGGGATTAAAGGGGTGGTGGGACCCCAAACTGAGCATGAGGGGGCTGGGGAGTGGGGGGATGATGTGGAAGTGGTGAGAGAGGGGGGCAAAAAGTGGGGGTTGGGACTCCTAAACTAATCTAGGGGGAGCTGTGGCTTCAGGAGACCATGAAAAACTGGGAGGAACAGGGAGAAGGGTGGAAAAGGGAGGGTGGTCTGGCAGGTCCAATGGTCCCATGGGGGTCTTTGGGCACAGGGGGGTTGACAAAGGGGGGTGGCCCCCCTGAGCTCCCAGCTTACTGTGGGGTGCTGGGGGCTGCTGGATCCAATCTCAGCCTTGCATTATGTCAACAGTTTCAGTTTAGAAGAATACAGACCTGTGACTTAACCACTTCCATTTCCAAGGTTTTTATAATGGTAAATCAGATCTATTGATAGAAATGAATTATTTAGGGATACAAATGATCAGACAAAAGATCTTCATCAGAATTATTTACTGCACAATACAAACACTAAAACTACCAGCAGTACAGCATAAGATAGGACAGTGCTCTACACTAAAGCAAGTCTTGAAGCTGGCACAAAAGCAATAATTCTTAAATAGAGATGGATGGAACTCCCCGAGACCGAGGCTGGTGGGGAGATCTCTGCTCTCAACCTCCAGCAGTGACCTTGGGGGGTCCCCAGCCAAGGCAGGAATCTCCACACACACTCCCAAGAAGGGCCCTTTTGGAAGAACCTGCCCCTGTGAAAGGGGACTGGCCCTTTGTGGTCGAAAGGGATGGACTGACAGTCACTGGACTCCAGGGGTTCCCTCCCCATCAGGGGCTTCATTCGGGGTGGAAGCAGCAGCCACAGCTCTTCCCACAGTTGGTGCACTGGTAGGGCTTCCCTTACTGGTGGGTCTGTTGGTGTCTGGTCAAGTGACCATGCTGGGTGAAGCTCTTCCCACATTCCCCACATTTGTAGGGCCTCTCCCCGGTGTGGATGTGCCAGTGGGTGACGAGGTTGGATTTCCAGTTGAAGCCCTTCCCGCAGTCGGTGCAGCGGAAGGGCCTCTCATCCGTGTGCATCCGCTCATGCCTGAGGAGATTGGAGCTGGTCTGAAACCTCTTCCCACATTCCAAGCACTTGTAGGGCCGTTCCCCAGTGTGGATGCGCTGGTGGGTGCAGAGGCTGGAGCTGTGACTGAAGCTCTTCCCACATTCCCAACAAGTGTAGGGCTGTTCACCAGTGTGCATGTGCTGGTGGCTGCGGAGCCTGGAGCTGTCAATGAAGCTCTTCCCACATTCCCAACAAGTGTAGGGCCGTTCCCCAGTGTGAATGCGCTGGTGGGTGAGGAGGGCAGAGCTGTGTCTGAAGCTCTTCCCACATTCCTTACAAGTGTAGGGCCGTTCCCTGGTGTGGATTCGCTGGTGGGTGAGGAGGGCAGAGCTGTGCCTGAAGCTCTTCCCACATTCCCCACATGCATAGGGCCGTTCCCCAGTGTGGATGCGTTGGTGTTTGCAGAGGGTGGAGCTGTCCCTGAAGCTCTTCCCACAATCCTCACATGCATAGGGTCGTTCCTCAGTGTGGATGCGCTGGTGTTTGCGGAGGGTGGAGCTGTCACTGAAGCTCTTCCCACATTCCCCACATGTGTAGGGCCTCTCCCCAGTGTGAATGTGCTGGTGGGTGAGGAGTTGGGTGCTCTTTCTGAAGCTCTTCCCACATTCCAAGCACTTGAAGGGCTTCTGCCTGCTGGGAGGCTGCTCAGGGACCACCAGGTCACAGCTCCACCTCAAGCTCTGGCCGCCTTCCCGGCACAGGCTGGGTCTTTCCTCCTCCTCAGAGCACCCTGGGCTGGCTTTGGAGCCCCTCCTGTGGGGGGATCTCCGGTCCTTTTCCTCCCCGCTGCCTTCCTGCACCGTGGAGCCCTTCAAAACGGCCTCTCCCACCAGGCTCTGCCACAGGGATTTGTCCTCCGGGCTCTCCGTCCTCAGCTCGGGGCCTGGGGCAGGAAGCAAGAAGGACAGGGAGGGGATTTGCCTCCGGCCCACAGGGAAGGCCAAGGACATCCCCCCCAACTCCGGCCCCGGCAGGACGGCGGCGGCAGTGGGGTTGTCCTGCAGCCGGGGGCCATGCTGGGCTGCCAGAGCCAGCACAACACCCGCCCAAAGGGCCACTGACTTCCTCCTCACCTGCCTGGGGGGCCCAAGGCATCTTCCTCTTCCTCACAGATGCCTCCTCCATCCGCCCAAGCTTTGGGAAGGACAAATCCTGATGGAGGGGAAACAAGGGCTGAGCACGTTGGCTTGGGGGTTCCTCCTGCCCAAGTCCATCTCTAGAACTCACTGGGCATCCTGTGTCCAAAAAAACCTCCAAAACACCAAGATTCAGCCCAGAAAAACCTAAACCACCGAGATTCAGGCAAAAAGCCCCTCAGAAACAGTGAGATGAACCCCTCCCCAAATTGCAAATGTTAAGATTCAGCCAAAATATACTACAAAATATGAAGATTCAGCCAAATAAAAAAGTGTTTAATTGGGAGGATGAGGAGAGTGAGGACATTTCATGAGCACTTGATTGAGTTGCTAGATATTAATCAAAAGCTGAATTAATGTAGTGTGACTTAAAACTCAATTTTTTTCTTCCTAGTTTCAGTGTAGAGAATAAATATGAAATCACTGGACTTCAGGCCTGCATCATTACCCCTGTGCTTTGGTTTGCAAATCCTTCCTCATTCCACTTCTTCTCCCCTGCCATCATTTCTGACAACTGGATTCCTCTGCCGTGCCAATATCCTGGGATAAGCGGTTTCCATGTTTGCAAGGATTAAAGGCAACTTTTTGCCTCCCAGTGCCAAAGGCTGGTCTGTGAAGTTTAGTGTGAGAGAATCCTGGGCAGTCAGACACTGAAATTGTTGAGCTGCAACGGGCCGTGCCAATGGAATGACAGAATCCATTCTGCTGGCCTAGACACAGAAGCCAAGCTGTGGCTGTGGCTCTTTGCCTCACTGGCATCATCCTCTGTGGTTCCTGCTGCCCACCATGGCACTGGCAGCCCCAGGGGCACAGGAACGTCCATCCTGTACATGAAGTCAGACTGTCCACAAGTGTTAGCAGGAGTAAAACAGTGCACTGCTGACCTTCTCAAATTTATCTCTGTTAATGTAGGACTTCACTTGGTCAATCTGTGTCATCTTGCACAGCATTATGTGGGTTTTATGATTTTTAATATCACTGCACCAAATTAATCTGGAATGTGTAGTCGGAACAGTAATTACCTGTATTTATGTATAACTGTGAGCTCTTCTATTTTTTATGCTTTCTGGCAAATTCACTGGCAACTTCTTTCACGACTACACGATGGGGACTGAATTTAAGGTCGGGGGTTTTCCTGAGGGCAGCACTACACCAGACTTTTGTGTGTGTGTGTGAGACAGGCAGAAGCACAAATGCCTGCACAGCCCAGAGCAGTCAGTGTGGTGCTGGGCTTGCTGCTGCAGAGACCCCCAGGGAACAAACCCAGGCAATAGTTTGGGTTTATTCCTTGCTCTGTGTCAGTGGAATAGAATGTTCCACAGGAGCTCTGTCCCCCTCTGTGGCACCGGGGGGCTCGAAGTTGAAGAGGGGGGGGGTCAAGTGCAAGTTCCCTTCTGAAGTGTGTGTCCCTAAGGAGGACACTTGCCTTATTATTGCTTGTTATTTGTAATATCTTATAGATCTATCATACAACACCTGAGGATGAATTCTATAGAATATGTGTGTTATCTATGACACAGAATATATCTGATTATTGCTTTATATGCCT